AGGCCATGAGAATATCATTAGTGACTTTCACCAGAGCTGTTTCAGTGCTATGATGAGCTCTAAAGCCAGACTGAAACTCTTCAAAAAGTTCATTATGGCGTAAGTGATTGCACACTTGTTTAGCAACTACTTTCTCAAGAATTTTAGATGAGAATGGAAGATTGGATATAGGTCTATAATTGACCAAGTCGTCTGGGTCAAGAGACGGTTTCTTAAGACAAGGTTTAATTACAGCTACCTTAAAGCAATGGACCAACTTTGGTCCTGCTGGAATATGAAATGTGGTAATTAATGTTGTTTTTCTTTATCTTCTCCATGAACAACATTTTTATCATGGCTGAGTTATTCATTAGACTCACCTTAGCCATTTTTACTTTAACTATGATTTATACTTCATGTAGAGAGCTCCAATTTTGAAAAAAAAGGCTGCAGAGTAAGAGCAATATAAAATAAATAAATATGAAAAGCATCCCAAAGGTCATAAATAACAAACAATAGTTCAACAAAAGAGAAGGCAGCAAAAAGAAATAGACTTAGACAAACTTTACTGTCATTTTCTCTGCACCAGTTGTATATAAAACCAAACTGCACTGCATGCAGCTTACAACAGTGAAATGATATTGAAGTTGGATTTATTTAAACCTTACCATTATAAAGTGCAGCTATGATCAGAATGTAAACAATGTAGGAGAAATGTGCTACAAAGCACATTAATGAGATGGCAGTACCATCTTACACAAATAGCTGAGATCAAGCTTAGAGAAAGTTACACATAATGCTATAAGAAACAAAAAAGCAAGGAGTTATAAAAACAAATTATAATAATAACTACTGAGTTTGTGAATGAAATCTTCCTGCATCCTGAAAGTGAATCATATTGGTTCTTTTCTACCCATGTAAAACAAGTGTTGCTGAAAGGAGGGAACTTTGCTATTTTACTACACAGGACAAGAATCAGAGAAAACTCCCAGGAAATTTCTCACTACAGAGAAACTGAAGTGCAGACCTGGAAAGTCCTTATAGGTCCCCCCCCCCCTACTGCATCATCTGTGTGTAACCATTGTAAGACATTACACCACTAATTTGCATCTCAAATGCTTTAAGAAAAACTTGCTAGAACTTCCACTGAGGGCAGCCATGAAAGACTAACAGCAGCCCCTTTAGCCCTAAAAATAACAACAAGCAAAACCAAACACCAAACCGGACTACAATTTATGAATCTACAGCTAAAATTAAAATGAGAGAGCTATAACATCTTCTGGATACAGAAAAATAAGGTGTGCCATTACCTGTTTGGGTCCAGAATACAATGACTCAGATCTCAAACCTTATCCTTCTTAAAACTTTCACTGTCTGACAGTAAAAGGGAACTCTCTTGACTTCTCTGTAGCTCTTCCTTATTACTGTTTCCTCTTACTCTTCTGGCTTATTTTTGTCATTTGTTGCTCATCTGATAACAGGGGCTTTTCTAATACATTTATTGTTGTAAAAATGACAGTAAATATTATCCTGCATTGATTTAATTCGGCAGTTAATGCATCCTTTATGCTGGTTCTCAGTCATCCAGGTCATAGTCATTCCAAAAAGGAAGCTTTTTTTCAATTCAAAATATCAGGAATAGCGTTGAGTTCGAGGTTTTATGCAGTAGCCCAACAAAGTCTTGTTTTGTTTTGAAAACTTGCAAATAAGAACAGACGAAGGGGTCCACCCATTTGGAATGTGGGTCACTTGGCTTCTTTTGTTAGACTGCAATACCCCATACCCATCTAAAGGGCTGGTTATACACCACGCAGCAGTGTGTCGCAGTGAGCTTGACGGAGACATTTTTGATTTATGCTCAAGAGAATCAGGTACTACTTGTGGGTGTAGATATGGCTAAGGTGGTGAGAAATGGGGGGGGGCATGAGGTGCAAAAAAGGTTTGCAGGGTTCTCACGCACCTCGCTCTTCTAGCTGGTCAAACTTCAGTTGAAGTTTCAGTTGTTTTCCACAATTGCGGTCATACAAACAAAACAAGCTGGCCTTCTGTCTGCGGCATTTTCTGCGGTGACCTACAATTTGGAAGAGGTGCAGCAGAGTGTCCGTGGAGGGGGCTGGGACGTCTTTTTGTTCACTGCAACACCTACGCAGAAGACCTAGTTTTAAAGTATAAATTAGCCTTAAGTCTGAAAAGTCGGTGGTTAAAGGGGATTGTTGGCCTCGCTGAATAGACGAGGTCCTCCACTCTCCTGTACAGGGGGTGGGGCTTCAATGATGTGGATTTGTGGAACTACAAACATTTTGGTATTTGCATTATGTTTGTGTATGTACAGAAATTGATGATTTCCTACAACGGTGTGTACTACTCCCTTCAGAGGGCAGCACAAACAGGTTCTAACGAGAGTAGAAAAAGAAGTGGGAGGCCGCGTTGCACAACTGAGCAAGAAGATAAGTTACATTAGAGTCTCTAGTTTGGGAAAAAAACAGACGCCTCACAGGTCCCCAACTGGCATCTTCA